CCAAAATTGTTCCTTAATTTGTTATTTTTGTTGAATTAGTCAATTCATCTATCTTTCCCCAAGCATTTTTTGTGACAGACACTGAGGTTATAGTGACGTGGAGCTTCTGCATGCCAGCATTTAACATCCCATGGTTTGTGTGCTATTAAAAAAAGTAAGGTGGAATATGGGGGTGAAGGGATGAACCATGACAGGCAAAGGTGCTGTTGTAGCTACAGTAGTTAGGGAAATGCTTCTGAAGAGATGCTGTTTGAGCACAGATTGAATCAAGTCAGAAAGCCTTGTGATGCATCAGGAAAGATGCACCTTAGCTGGGGCAGGAAAGACAACCGCACATGCAAAGGCCCAGAGAGAGAAGTGGGTTCTGTGCACCATAGAAACAGCATGGAGGCCAGTTACAGGTGACAGTAAGGTGGTATTTCATGCTAAGGGTGATGGGAAGTAAATGAAAGGTTTTAAGCAGAAAAAGGATGTGGCTTTATGTATTTATTTATTCATTCATATAAAAGGTATTATTTTTAAGTGTTCGAGTCAGTGGTATTTAGAACATTCACAATATTGTACATCACCACTATCTAGTTCCAGAACAGTTTTATCATCCCAAAAGGAAACCCCACCTCCATAAACAGCTATTTCCCTGCTCCCCTCCCCACTCCTGGCAACCACTAATGTGCTTCCTGTCTCTGTGGATTTGCCTATCAGACCAGATTTATTTTTACAAGGATCACTCTGGCCGCTTGGGTAACAGGCTGCAGAGGGCAGGAGCAGCGGCGGAGAAAGGGAGCCCTGGGATAGTGAAGCTAGATTAGAGGAATAGAAGAGAAGTGACCAGACTCTAGATGTTTTGCTAAGGAGAATATTTTGGAGAATATGCAAGAAAGAGAAGTGTAAAAATTATTTCATAGTTTCAGGCCTGAGCCAGTAGGAAAGGAATAACTTCTGTGTTTTGTTTTGTTTCCCCCATAACTTAAGAGACCATCTACTTAAAGGTGGAAAATAATATTCAGGATTTTAAGAAGATACTTGGTCGTTCCTCACCCCCCCCAGAATAATGAATATTCATTCCTCACTTACCCAACCCCTTTCAATGCCTTGTTGGACCACAATTAACAACACAGTTGCGGTTAATGAGTGCACTTTGGGCCAGAAAAGAGGGCTGCAGTCCACTAACCAGCTTACTCAAACAAACCAACTCATCTTTGTCCAGTTGGAACACTGACCCTCCTTTGGGTTTCTGAGCCTGTCGATTGTACTGGAGTGGGTCGCCTGCTTTTCTCTCATGGACTGCTGTTGGATTCAAACCACGGAAGAAGGCAGCCTTTGGATTAGCAGCAAACTCCTAATGTCACCAGAGCTCCCCAATTTACTTCAACTTAGAAACACTCACTGCCTTAAAGTCATGGCTGACCCTCCAGCAGGTTTTCTGAGCCTCTAAGTCACACAGGTGGAGATTGTCCATCTTTTCTCCCTCAGCGTTGGTGGATTTGAATCACCAGAATGGTGCAGCCCTTGCTGCTTTTGGATTAGCACCTTGTCTCCCTCTGGACCACGCCCCAGGAGTTAGTTTAGACCCCTTGTTTTATGGGTGAGAAAACCAAAACTGAAGAGCCTAAAGATACAAGGTGAATAGCTCTTTTAATACTTGCTTTGTGAGTGAAAGTTCTCTTTTGATTTTATCATAAACTCCTTAAAAGCAAAAATTATGTCTTAACTTTTTCTCAGTTTTCCTTTATACCCAGAACAATGCTAAGTCATAATAGATAAAACCCTAAATACTGCATTGAACATAACTTCTAATGAAAGATCTTTATATAGTAGCTACTATGATCTTACCCACTTTGGTAAAAGTATATTCAGGGATAGGTTTCCAAGTAGGTTTGGTGCATCAGCAAATAAGAAACATCAAAGTAAATAAAATTCACCTTTAAACAATTCAAACAAAATTTAGAATAAGATAACCCAGAGAAAAGACATTTTTAAAAACAATTTTACTTTTGGCACACCTATAACTTTTGCGCATTACAGCATCAAGTCAACACATTGCCCTACAGCTGAAACTGACTCTGCTGGGCTTCCATTGGGTTGCTGAGGCTGTAAATTTCTTTCATGAAGTAGCTGTTGGATTTGAACTGCTAGAGAACCATGGCTTTTGGGTTAGCCGCCTGACTTTTCTATGTACAGTAACACCAGTATGGCACAGAGCACCCTCATTACAGTACAGTATTATTTACTCTTAGATTTAATTACATAGGATTGTGGCCAAAATATTTTTTGTCAGTTCATAGAACTTAGAAGCCTTAACTCAGTCTAAGAAATTCTTTCTTCTATGTCTGGAGTTTTCTTTTATATTTAATATCAGTGTTACATTGTGTCCATATAACTACTTCTTTTCTTTAACTGTTTGTCTGTTTCTTTTTAAAGTACTATAATTAGACCATAGTTCTGTTTTTAGTTTGTGTGTGTGTGTGTGCCGTCAAATCGGATCTGACTGGTACAGGAGGAGATTGCCCCTCCTTCTCCAGCAGAGCATCTGGTGGATTTGAACCATGTTAGACTATAGATCTAACTTACTGTGTTTTGACATAGCTAAAAGCTTCTTACATTTATTTTATTTCTTCTTTAATGTCTTTAATGCTTGTTTTAAAAAAGAATACTTTTTGAGTGACAAGAGCTATCAGTGGGACATTCCAACATTAACCTTAGATGAGAAATATCAACTGGGGTAAAAATCAAACAACATATCAGTTGCAGCCGGGTTGCTGCTGAGACTTGAGGAGCTAATGAATAGAACTGCTGCCCAGGGTTTTCTTGACTTAAGGGTAATGAAAGCTGATTGCATGTCCTTTTCATGACACTGCTGGGTGGGTTTTGAATACACTAATTTGAATGGATGCTCCTGGCTGGTCACTGAAGTACTTCAGAAGCAGCTTTCTACACCTTTTGAACTATTCTGCTTTTTTTTTTTTTTATTTTTTAGCATTTGCTTTTGCAGCGAACTCTGCACATAATCCCACATGGCTGTTTTGATCCAAAGCTTTCCCTTGAGGGATGGTGTAAGAGTTAGGGGTGTGCTTTGTAAACTTCCTTTCTTCATTTCTTTTTCCACTGCTTTCTGCCCCTACCTTCAAAGCGAAATGAAATTGAATGATTATTAGAGGGAATAAATCTGAAGCCTTGACATTTTGGATACTTGGGGCCAACCAAATGCAGCAAGGCTTTAAAGAAACACATCTGTCTTTTCAATAAAGCAGAAAAATGTTGGATTTGTATTTGACATGTTAGTGCTTTTGAGTAGAGAAACCAGTTCTGTTTAAAATTCTAGTCCAAAGAATTAACAAATGCTCTTTCCGTTTTACCTGACTTTGTTTCTTGATACATACAATATTCTGCAGTTCTAAACTAAAAATGAAATGGATATGTCCTTTTGGGACATATGCTCATATTTTTTAATAAAAAAATTTCACTAGCTCCTGTTAGGGAGTATAGTAATCAGTACAATGATAATAGTTAATGTTAATTGGACAATTATTATCTTGCCAGCACTGGCTGCATCAGACCCTTACATTATTCCGTAACAAAAATGAAAGCAGTGAAAAAAAAAAGCAAGCAAACAAGCAGTAACTCTAAAAGAATGTATGTTTTTAAGAGCAGAGGTTCATCCTTATGGATGAAACACATAGTAAGTGCTCAGTAAATGTTTTCCTGTGAACCCTATCAGGTAGATGCTACTCTGCATATTGCTGTTAGCTGATGGAGTCAGGATTCAAGCTGATATTCTTAGTTATTCACTCTGTTGAGTGCAGGATAATTTTCATTTCCTGCATCTAACTAGGAGACAGTGAAGTGTGTCTGGTTAAAAGGTTAGACAAGGCAGCAGCTATTTCTATACAAGGGATGTCAGAAAGCCTGGAATTATTAAAAGCAACTGAGTTATGAATAAGTCCTTAGAAATTATCCAAGACTGTTCCTAAATATAATAAATGCTTAATGTCTTAACTCTTCTTGACTGCTCTTGTTTCCACATCATTTCACCATTGCTCTCTTTGTGAATCTTTTTTTAATTAAATTTTATTAATTTTAATGAACATTTACAGAGATTTTGGGTTTTCATTCATTCATTGTTGCACTATTCTTTGTGAATCTTTTGAGATGTCTACCGTGTACCTCGCTGGGTTAAAGTGGTCAGAGATGGTTTAATGGTCAAGGTGATCCTTGTAGCTGGGGCAGAAAGTGCATTGTTAGGGATAGAAGAGATGTTCTACATGAGAAGATTCCTATAAATGGGGACAGAGGTGGAAAGTGTGTCCCCCCCTCTGTCCCTCGGACATAGAGGAGACTGACATGCATGGCAAAGACAGGATATGTGGGTTACTAGAGAGAGTAAATATTAAGATTAGCGGTTCAGGATTATTTTTTATGTTACATATGCTACATTATAGTTTTAACATTGGATTTGAAACTCTACATGTATCTCTACCTGTGAGAAACCAAATACCTTTTAATGTGAAATATAAAATTATATGGTCATTTCTTATGCTAGATTCTATGGTTACCCCATTGTATCTGGTTAAGCAATAATGCTGTGGCCTTTGGTGCCAGGTGGCCAATGAGACATACTTTGTCCTGATAAAAAGGTCATTTCCATTCAGCTTCCTGTATTTGAAATTTAAGAACCTAATTTACCAATCTTTTCCATCATGATGGACTGAAAAACATCTGTAAGGATTACCAAGAAGGGTCTTTGGATCCTGCTGCAGACTCTTTAGCAGGCTGTTTTGTCCAGGGGACCAGTGAATATGCCTTATTCATCCTGTATCTCTTCCAGCACTGACACAGTTCCTGGCATCAACTATGAATGCAGTAAATCGTGGTTGAATTGAATTTTCGAAGCCTGTGAGGCTGGCCACTTCGGCACTTGTGGGAGTAATTTGCAACTGAGCTGTATTTTTTTTTAATTTTTTTTATTTTGTGATATGTAACACCTTTAATATTGTTCGTAGGTCCAGCCTGATGACTGGAGGGCCTCAGCGAGGAGCGCCCAACCCTTGGCTCCTTGAGGAGCCTGAGGAGATGAGAGGCTTAGGTTTTGATGAAATCCGGCAACAGCAGCAGAGAATTATCCAAGGTACTGATACCCTGCTGAGTGTGGGCTCCGGAACCCTGCCAGGTTTTGATGTCAGTCAGGAATGCTCCTTATCCCCATTGAAAATTGACATGAAAATGGTCTTTCAAAGTTCTTGATGTTTTGGTGCCTCAGCTTACCTGGGGAAGAGACAGCTGCTGCCATTCCCTGGGGAGCTGACCGAGGTGGTGAGCTTTTTGGATTCTGAGAGCCCCAGGCCCTCAGACGTACATGTCCCTCCTTTTTTTCTACCACTGGGAATTGCTCCCTGAACATAAGATAAGACGCCACCTTTTTAAAGTATAAATCCATTTGGCTTTAACATTTAAGTGCATCTTGCTTAGCAGCTGTTAAACCTGCTAATTCTTTTGTATTGTTGCTGTGGTACAAATATCCAAAACAAAGCATTTTCCCTGTTATTATTTTTTAGATGTACAACTTATGGACGTCAGTTGTTGTTGTTATTATATGCTATCAAGTCGCCTGCGACTAATAGTGACCCAGTGTACAACAGCCTTAAACCCTGCTTATCCTGTGCCAATCTGTTTCCAACACACCTACCCTCATTACCCCAGACACTGAATCAATCCATCTCATCGAGGGCCTTCCTCTCCTGCGCTGTCCCTTCACCCTCCCAAGCATGATATCCCTCTTCAAGGATTGGTCCCTCCTTACAACATATCCAAAGTATGTCAGACAAAGCTTCAGAATCCCTGGTTTCACCCTCTAGGATGAACCTGTTTGTTCTCTTAGCAGTCCATTAGTTACATTCACCAAACTGTACAATCATCACCCCTACCTGTCTCTAGTTTCTATCTGTTTAGAGCCCTTTAAGCAGTAATTTTCCAGTTCCTCTTCACCATCTTCCCCTTGCAACCACTAACATACTTTGGTCTCTATATATTTCTCTGTTCTATTTCATGCAGTTTATGTCCTTTTGTATCTGTTTCCCTCAGCACATTTTCAGGGTTTGTCTGTGTTGTATGTACCAGACCTTGTTCTTCTTGGGGCTGTGTTTTATCTCATTGTGTATACCACAATTTCACCATTTTAATTTTAATTTAATTTTATTTATTATTGTATTTTATTTCACCATTTGTGTATTAATAGACACAAATGTTAGGTTGTCTACACCTTTGGGGTCTTGTGGATAGTGCTGCAGCAGACCCTGGTATACAAGTATCTGTTCAAGTCTCTGGTCTCAAGTCTCTTGGGTGTGTACCTAGAGTGGAATTGCTAGGCCATACAGTATCCAGTGTTTAACAGTTTGAGGAACTGCCGCACTGTTTTCCTTCATGGCTACTCATTTTACATTCCTGCCAACAATGGATGAAGGCCTCAGTTTCTCCACATCCTTGTCACCTTGTTTTCTTCCTTTTTTTTTTAAATCCTTCTATCCTAGTTAAGCTGTAGTATCATCTCATTGTGGTTCAGATTATGAATAATGACATTGAGGGTCTTTTCTGCAGTTTCTTGGTTTATTTATTTTTTTAAGTATACCTGATAATTATTTAAAATTTTTTCTTTTTTTTTAATTTCAGAAGCAATTAATGATTTTAAAATATGTTATGTGCTGTTGAGTTGCCTGTGACTCATAGTGACCCTTTGTACAACAGCTCTGAACCCTGCCTTCTCTTGAGCCAACTTTATTGTCTTTGACAGACCCAATTCCACTTCTCTAGTCACTGAGTCAGTCCATCTCATCCTGGTTCTTCCTGTCCTGCACTGTCCCTCCACTCTTCCAAGTATGATGTTCCTCTCCAAGGACTGGTCCTCCTGGCCATGTACCCAAATTATGTGGGACTGAGCTTCAAAATTCTTGCCTCCAGGAAAAGCTTGGTTTTACCCTCTCCAGGTTTGGCCTGTTTGTTCTCCTGGCAGTCCATGATCTGTTCAACACTCTTTGCCAGCAAACAATATAGTGGTATATAAAAAGAAAGCCCTTCTTAGTATTCAACAGACCTCTGGTGGCATAGTGGAAAATGTATTGCACTGGTAGCCAAAAGGTCATCAGTTCACATCCACCAACCACTATAAGAGAGAAAGATGGGCTGTGCTCTACCATAACAATTGATAGCCTTGGAAACCTAATAGAAGGCTACTATGAGTCAAAACTAAGTTGATGGCAGTAGGATTGCATCTCCAATCTCAAACTGTAAATGGGTTAACCTTTATTTCCCTGCATATTTTTATATACATCAACATGCATATATAAGGACACATGTGTTTTATTTCAATAAAGCTCTGTTATACATATTATTCTGGAAATTATCAAACAATATCATTAATATCATATGCACCCAAAATATTGCTGAAGATTATTCAAAGATATCTAGAAAAGTACATAGATATCTATGTAGTTTAGGTGGTATTTAGAAGAGGCCGTAGCACCAGGGATATCATTGCTGATGTCAGATGGATCCTGGCTGAAAGTAAAGAATATCAGGAGAATGTCCATTTGTTTTATTGACTATGCAAAGGAATTTAGCTTTGCGGGTCACAAAAAAATTATAGCTAACATTGAGAAAAATGGGAATCCTAGGACACTTAATTGTGCTCATGTGAAACCTATACCTAGGCCAAGAGGCTGTTTGTTGTGTGAATAGAGCAAAGGGGACACTATGTGGTTTAAAATTAAGAAAGGAGTTTGTCAGTATTATTTTTTTTCTCCATACCTATTCAATCTGTATGCTGATGAAATTATTCAAGAAACTAGATTCTATGAAGAAGAATTTGGCATCATGATTGGAGGCAGACTCGTCAGTAACCTACATTATGTAGCAGATGAGCCAACTTCTTTTGCTGAAAGTGAAAAAGATATGAAATGCTTGCTGTATTTTAATGTCAAGAAAACAAAGGTCCTCATTACAGGACCAACAGTTAACATTATAGATTGATGAAGAAAGGATTGAAATTGTCAACTATTTCATCTTGCTTGGGTCAACAATCAACACCCTTGGTATCAGCAGTCAGGAAATCAGGAGACATATTACACTGGGAAAGTCTGCAGTCAGGGACCTCTCCAAATAATTAAGGAGTAGTGATATCAGTTTGAAGACTAAGGTGTGCCTGATTTAGGCTATGATCTTTTCAGTCACTGTAATACATCAGAGAGCAGAGCAAATAAGGATAATAGAACTGATGACTTTGAACTGTGGTGTTGAAGAAGAGTACTGAATATCCCATGCACTGCCAAAAGAACAAACAGAGATGTCTTGGAAAAAATGTGAAGCCAGAGTGCTCCTTGGAGGCAAGGATTGTGAAGCTTCATCTTTCATACTTTGGACTTGTATGTAGGTGTGGCTATTACTTGGAAAGGGACATCATGCTTGGAAAGAGGGAGTGTCAGCAAAGGAGAGGAAGACGCCAAATGAGATGGACTGACACTGTGACCCCAGCAATGGATTCTGGTGTGTTAGAGATGATGAGTATTGCACAGGACAGGGTAGGATTCAGGTTGGCTCTTCTGAGTGTTGCTATGAGTCGTACTCAACTCAACAACACCTAACAACAACATGCAGATAACACAACTTTGCTTGCTGAGAGTGAGGAGGACTTGAAGCACTTGCTGCAGAAGATGAAGGAATAGAATCTTCAATCTTTTCTCCACCCATCATGATGTTACCTATTGGTCCAGTGGTAAGAATTCTTGTTTTCTTGATGCTGAGATGCAGTATATCTGTCATGATGCTACCTGTTGATCCAGTGGTAATAATTTTTGTTTTCTTGACTTTGAGATGCAATACATGCTAAACTTGTCAGCAATTTCATCTTACTTCAATCCACAGTCAACATCCTTGTTACCAGCAGTCAGGAGATCAAGAGCTGTATTGCACTGGAAAGTCTGCATTTGAGGGCCTCTCCAAATTATTGAGGAGCAGTGGTGTCAGCTTGAGGATGAGGGTGTGCCTGATTCAGGCCATGGTCAGTTCAATCAGTTGCTATGCATTTGAAAGCTGGACAGTGAACAAAGGTGACAGAAGAAGAATTGATGCCTTTGGGCTGTATTGTTGGAGTACAGTGCTGAATATCTCATGGATTCCCAAAAGAACCAACAAATATCTTGGAGAAAGTCAGCCAGAGTGCTCCTTATAGGCAAAGATGATAATGCTGATAAAGCTTCATCTTACATTGGGCATATTGCTAGGAGAGGCTATTTCTTGGAGAAGGACATAATGCTTGGGAAGGTGGAGGGTCAAGGAAAGAGAAGACCCTCAACCAGATAGATTGACATAGTAACTGCTGCAGTGGGCTTAAGTGTGCCAGAAATTGTGAGAATGACATAGGATAGGACAAGGTTCAGATCTGTTGGTTATGAGGTTGATATAGGTTGTACTCGACTCAATGGCATCTACCACCACCAACATACATATTTACAACTTATTTCATGTATTTTTAAGCTTGATATGTATCTTACTATGTCCTAGGGAGCTCTGGTAGCCTAGTGATAAGAAGCTGTGCTGAAATCCCAAGGGCACATGATTCGATCCACCAGCTTCTCCAGAGGAGAAGGAAAGATGGACAATCTCCTGCCGTAAGACTTACTGTTTCTGAAAACTCACTGGAGGGTGAGCTATGGGTCGGTTCCAACCCAGTAGTATACAACAGCAACATGAGTCATGGGGACCTCTGGTGTACAGTGGATAAAGACTTGTGCCACGAGCCCAGTTGGACTCCACCAGCTGCTCATGGGAAAAAGATTAACCATCATCTCCAGCCTGTGAAAACCCCCTAGAAGTCAGTAGTAGATCAATTCTGACTTGAGGGCACATAACAAATAACACGTAACAACAAGTACCTTGAACATTTTTTCATTAAATATGTACAGATATGTTATTCTTTCTAATTCTGCCTTTCTTTTTTTTATATTACAAGACAGTAATCTTTTATTCAAACATTTTTTGTGTGCATGTCTAAAATTATGCATGGAGAGACTAATATTCTTCATAAATTAGGATAAATCTAATAATATCACTATTCTAAGCCAGTATTATTTACAAAAA